GGTGTAAACTGTCTCTGCTGTAAACTCTTTCTGGTGTAAACCTTTGTTGGCCTTGTCTGGTGTAAACGACGTCTGGTGTAAACCGTGTCTGGTGTATAGACGGTGTCTGGTGTAATCGATGTCTGGTGTAAACTCTTCTCTGGTGTAAACCTTTGTCGGCTTTGTCTGGTGTAAACTTTTCCATGGTTACTTCGTCTGGCGTAAACAACGTGTGGTGTAAACCGTGCCTGGCGACATGCACCATCATCATCATTATCATCATCATCATCATCATCATCATCACCTTCATCATCATCATCAGCATCATCATCATCATCATCATCCTTATCATCCACATCATCATCATTATCATCATCATCGTCGTCAGCACCATCATCATCATCATCATCATTACCAGCAGCTACGTCATTGCAATCGTCATCGACCTCATCGTTAGCTCATGATCACAATAGCATATCACGGGCGTATCGTGAGATCATCATCTCATGGCACATCATATTTTCATATTTGATGTCATGTCATATTTTCTTTCACGGCATGAGAGTTACATGTGTTTCAGGTTGTGTTGTATTTGTATACTTGGCTTGAAATAGACCCAGCTGACTCGATGTGTTATTGTAGCTGATTGGAGTTGTCCGAAACCCATCCGAAGTAAGTGTCTTTACTTCCCTCGGACATGGATATGCAGACTGTAATGTATGCATCTTGTCTTTGTGCTATCCAACTGCTCTGAGGCTTGCCAGGCTGATCGATGTACTCAAATGCCTTGCTGGAGCCTGCATGATGCCTGTGGGCGAGGTGGGGTTGCGTCAAAACACAGATTGTCGTGGAACTCATGCATGCAAGTTTTGTCGTCGTGTTTTGTACTTGTCTTTGTGGCTGGAATTGCTTGTGCCTCCATGACTGTTGTGATATTTAAGTCGTATAGATAGTTATGTATGTGGCGATGCTGTCTGGACACACGCTGTGCCATCGCAGGGACGGCATTGCTCTCATGGTTGCAAGTTATCCGCAGCTTTGAAGACGAATTATTAGATCGTCCATTCCCTGCTTTGCGTCATGACAGACCTCCTACCGTGGAATTCCGAGGTTCGGAGCTGGGTAAATGCATGTGAACGGAAAATTCAAACGGCATACTCTCGCCTGCCATGGAAGCCGCTGGACTGGAAGACACACAGTCATGACTACAATTTTGGAGATATCACTGCCTGGCCACTGGATGCCAGCTGCATTACCTTGGGAGGGGATGCCATCTTCCTCGGTAGTGTCACAGCGGCTGTCAACATTGAAGCGGTGGAGGTGGAGTACACGACAAAGATCTCCCATGTCGTGACCCTGTGTGGGAACGAGATCCAGGTGCGCGGCGCGCCGTCAGATTTGCCCACCTATTTTGAACGTTGTGGCGTCGCTCATATCTGGTGGTTCATCGAGGATCCCACAGTCAAAGACCCAAATACAGAGCTGGCGAAGCATCGTCAGTCTGCCGGTGAATGTTTAGCTTTCTGGAAAGATTTGATGCATGTTCTTTGGGATGTGGCCTCCTACTACTGGAACCACGACATCAGGTTTACGCCTTTGTTTCATTGCTTTGGAGGCATCAATCGCAGTACCGCCGCGCTTTGCGCCTGGCTGGTGATCTGGTGGGATCTCAGTGTCGAGGATGCCATTGACTGTGTGCTCCAGCAGCGTCCAAGCCTGAGACCGTGGAAGCGACGAGCATATGTCTTGTATGCACTGCGATCCTTGGAGCATCACAAGCATGCCTGGCGTTGGGAATTTGAAACGTCGTGACCAAAGTGTCGACAAAAAGCTGTGAATTCGTGGCCAAACTGGCTAGAAGGACCTGGGTCCACGACCGGAAGTTGTTCGAAGTCGGCCCTTGTTCCGACTGAATGTGCAGAGACCCCATGAGGAACGGGATCCACGACCGAGAGTTGTTCGAAGTCGATCCTGTTCCGACTGGGTGCGCGAATATACCTGATAACCGATAAAATTGTGCAAACAGAGCTCTATAGACATCTTTTTTTGTTCGATTGTTGGACTTGAATGATATTCTTTGCTTGTTGTGATTTGACCTGAAAGACCAGTTTCGTTTCCAGAGACATTGAGTCTTTTGAACAGGTTGAGCGGCAACAAGTGGGACCAAATGAAAGTGGACACCACGCAATGGAATTCCAGGAGGCCGGCATGTCGATGCCACATATAGTCACCAGCCACGAAGTTACAAGTATCGGCGAAAAGCTGTGAATTGGCTATTGCAAAGTGTCGTGACCAAACTGATTAGAAGGACCTGGGTCCACGACCGGAAGTTGTCCGAAGTCGACCCTTGTTCCAGCTGAACGTGCAGAGACTCCACAAGGCACGAGATCCACGACCGAGAGTTGTTCGAAGTCGATCCTGTTCCGACTGGGTGTGCAACTATATCTGATAACCGACAAAACAACATGAGTTGAACTGTGGGTAATTTGTTTTGTTTTTCAAGTGTTGCATTTGTATGAGCATTGGTTGTCCTAATGCCAGGTTGGGACGTGCGATTTCGCACACTTCGGCGGCTCTTACTACCGGGACTAGCGTTTGAGCTCGACCGGCGCTGGATAAAAAAGAATCGACCGGGACTACCGTTTGGGCTCCGAAGTACAGTGCAACAGAATATACATTAATAGATTTGGTAATAACGTGATAATAGTATCATAATCATAATGTATATATATATATATAGAGATATATATATATATATTATATATTGTGTCATCTCATCATCACCTCATTTTGTTTCATCTTAATGTTTTGAATCATCATATATCATCTCTTCATTTCTTTAGTGCTCATTCATCTTCTGTTACTTCGCTTTTCTTCCCTTCTATTTGTTCTCTTCCGCCTACTTGCTTTCGGGCCACCCTGTCGTCTAGTTTATAAGAAGGACGAGGTCGCTGGAAAACCGTTCAGTTTTTTCATCAGAAGTTCCCCATGAACTTGTTTGGTCAGCTGCCTAAGGGGCTCCAAGAGGAATGGGCAGTCCTGGCGACTGTGTTGTTGAGGAACGGACGCAGACGCTGAATGGAGGAAAGACGGGACAGGGCGCGTCGCGTCAGTTTTGGCGTGTGTCATGTTTTGGAGATTCGTTTTCACAAAAAGGGAGAAAGAATCAGCGAAGAGTTTTTGCGCGATGAAAAAGAAGAGCGAATCATTGTTTTCGAGTTCTCTGACCTTCCTCGCTATATTTTTGTGGAACAGTCAGATATGTTAAAGATATGCGCGCGTATTTATATATATATATACACCTAAATCCTATTTTCAATTAAATCTCCTCCTCCGCGGATGAACTTGGCTGTGCAGTTTTTGTCGAACGAACGGACCGCGCGTGAGACCTTTGCAAAGAGATTGTTGTGAGTTTGATCTGAGAGGTACCTGGAATGCTTTGTTTGCCTTCGGTGTGTCTAATGCTGGATGCTCCTCCAGCACCAAAGTAAAGGACTGAGCCTGTGTGTTCATGTTGCGACAAAACAGGTCACTACACTAGCGCTTGTCTGTGCTGGCTAAGCAAGTTCTGGCTGCGTTGGGAAAGAGACACTCCTCAGCGCCGATCAAAAAGATCGTGGCGAAGAATACGTCCTTGAAGCCCCAAGTTTTTCATAGCAAGAATGTGAAGACTCAAGACAGGCAAGAGAGCCAGCGGGAATCGCAGATTTCGTGGGCCTGTGGCATCTGCCGCGGGTGCTGCTTCGAAGGCCAAAGAGGTAGAAGAGCGAAGAAAAAAGCAAGGGAGAGAAAAGTAGCGAAGACCGTGTGCTCAGAAACAACGGGGCAAACAGCCCAAAGTGGAAGCTCGCTCTGTGGCAGACGCGTGTGCTTTTTTGAAGAAGAAAATTGGTTTGGAAGCCTAGTCTCTGCGAGTGCGGAGGCACCTGATCCGCCATCAGGTTTGCACATAGCCAGCAACACGGCCATGGCCGCAAATTCCTGCACTGTGAAGATTGCGGCGCCTACAAAGATGTGCTGGCTTGGAGTCATTTGCCTCATGTACGCGTGAGTCTCCCATGTGTGCAACGTGCTTTGCAGCTCTACTTTGGCCAGACGCCTCCACCTTCTGTCGGCCACATTGGTTTGCAGCTAGGTCTCAGTGGAAAGAACACTGGGACCTTGCAACAACTTTGGTCTTCTTGCCAAAGCCATGAGGTTAGCCTGGCTAAGGAAGAGCAAGCTGCGGCGAATCTGTCAGGACAGATGGAGTCCGATGCTACGTCCATTCGAAAATGGAAGGAGGACCGGGCTATTCAGTACCACCAAGTCTTCGGCGTGTTTCGGCGCCCCGCGTCCTTTTTGGACATATGCCAGTTCTGTGTGTACTCCATGGGCCGCGCTTCGTCTCAGAAGTCAGGAAGCGTCCGCCGAGAGGAAGCGAATCTAGGAAACCGGAGCATTGGACCAGTTCAGCCCCGTGACTCGGCGCATCGACAAACAGTGATTCCTCCCAAATATGTTCAGACTATGGTCTGGGGCACGAATCTAGCAACCACGGCCAAGTAGGAGTGTTTTGTGTAAAGAAAAGGATGAAGACAGGACAGCTGTTCATCCACACCGGTGCCATTGATGGTATGTGGCATTTGTGGAAGGGGTCGGTCCCCACTAGCTTGTGTTCACGCGATCTTCTGACGAAGCTGGGTCAGAAGTTGTCGGACCGACTGTGATGATGATGCTGGAAGATGAAAAAGCGCTGATTTTTTCACCGAGCAGTGGTTTTGCAGCAATTTGATGTGAAAATCGCAGCGATTCTTTCCTTGTTTTCATGTACTACATGCTGAAAAACCTTTCACATCAATGCAAAGCACAGTGACACACCGGACATTCGTCATCATTCACCACGTGAAGATTTTGCAAACGTTTGCGACCACACGCGCGGGAAGGAGCCTGGTGGGCTTATTAAGTAAGAGCGGGCTTAGAACAAAAAAACAGGGAATTTTTCTCTGAGACCACAGCGATCCGATTTGGTGCCGTGAGTCGGTACTTTTTGGCTTCCTGGACAACGTGCCGACTGTTCCCAGATACTTCTCACGTTGTTTCACAGACTGCGGCTGGCTTTCTCTGCTGGGCTTGTGCTAGTGGCTGGCTGGCTCCAGGCAATTTGCCCATTGCTGTATCGAGTTGCTTCTGGTTGTCTTCTGGTTTGAGACTGAAGTGGGAGAGGCCCATGTGATGAGTATGGCCAATCACCGATCAACCTCCTTGACGTGGACGGATTTTGATTTGGATCATCACGAAAGGTAGCGGTTACGCTACCTGAGTTTTCCTTTTGCTTTAGCAAACATGTATTATACCCAGAGCTGGAGCCTATCTCACTGAGAAATGGTCCCCGACATCTTCGTTTGCTGGCCGGGGCCCCCCCCCCCACCTTTCAACTCCACCCTGGCGCGCCTCGGGGTCAACGGACCAGTGTTTTCAGCTCTTCCAGTCCTCAACAGTGACCAAAAATCATGAAATTTACAGCGTTTTTTGTGGCTGTCCGGCAAAAAACACCGCAAAAGCCGATGGTTTTTGATGCGTCTCGGTTAGAAAAATGACCGAAAAGAGACCAAAAACCAGGAAAAATTTTGTCGGAAAGGGTTTTTGAGGCTTTTGGAGGCTTCAAAATTGCACAAAACTATGGTATTTACAGGGTTTTGTGCACCTTCCCGGCAGAAAACGCCGGTATTTACACGGTTTTCTGCGCTTTTCCAGCACACAGCCGTGGTGCGCCTCTGGATCGACGGCTACAAAACACCGTAAATACCAGTGTTTTCAGCTCCTCCTGTCTTCAAGCGTGGCCTTAGACCTTGCCGCGGCTGTGGATCGACGGCAACAAAACCTCGTAAATACCAGTGTTTTTGAGCTCGTCCTGTTTGCAAGCATGGCCTGCGGCCACGCTCTCACCTCCTCCCGGATTACGCCTGATTCCCTGCTACCTTTCGTTCACCCCCCTCCTCTCTCAAGTCGACCACCCATGCAAAATGTTTAACGGACACACTAGGCAAACCGCCTTTGTTCTCCGGAAGCTAGATTCTTCTTGCTGCCACTGCTGCTGCCGCTGCCGCTGCCGCTGCCGCTGCTTTTGCTTCCGCCGCTTCCCGTTGCGAGAACTGCCAATACCGGCCCATCGCTGCCTGTTGCGCATATCGTTTATGAGTATTTTTGTGCGCTGGACAGTTTCCTCTGATCCACATGTGAACCAAAAGTGTGAGGGTTACACAGCCGAACTGGGCCAAACTCATACTTTGCCCGATGCTTGTGGGGTGAGATGCCAGAGTTTTAATCAAATCAACGTCACACGGAGTCATACTGCCCAGTATTGGTTTGTTTGTTCTGGTGAATTTCGTTTTGTAATTTTACATTAATGATGCCCATTCTCATCAGTAAGAAGCTTCGTGCCCCAGAGTCTCGAAAATTTGATGGATACTTGTGAACTTTGTCAACTAGTTCTATTAGGGATGGCCGGCTAGGTTTGTTTATATAATATCATACAATCATACAACGCCCAGCAAAATTCTGCGTAATTCTGGACGTGATTTGCGAGTTTCAAGAAGGGCGAGACACTTTGAAATCAAAAAATCAGCCTTGTTGTTGGTTTCCATGACAGGCCTTCTTTGTAATTCTCTAATCCTGGAGCCTTCCAGTGTCAGGTTTGGCCTTCAAGTGGGTGGTTACGATCCCGAAGCCCGTACTGAACTCAAGCGCCTGGGTGGACACATGCTGCAAATTTTCATCTCCAAAAAGGTTGTCAAGAAATACGCGCCTTGGAACAACTTATGCGTGGAAGAACTGGTGACGCTGACAACCGAATTGCTCTGCAACCTTTTAGCCAAGGTGTACCACAGCATCTTTGGCAGCACTGAAGGTGTCAGGTGTTCGAGGCATGGTCTCTTAGTTTTGAGATGATGCAAGAAAGTCTGAGTGTGTAAACCAAGTCAGCGCGTCTAACTGTGTTTTGATTGATGGTTCGTACCTTTCTTTTGGGTTGTGGACGTATCCTTGCCACGACAGCTCATCCGGCTAATGTGTCCTGAGGCAAAGCTTTTGGAATCCCGATCGATACTGAACTAGATGTTTGGCTTGCAACACCGGAAGCTGTTGGCAAGGAGCTGGATGGCCAAGTGCCTGAGATTTTTTAAGAGCCCTGCTGATGTGCAGGGTGTGGTCACTTGTAGCCTTTCGTGTGTTTATCGATGTCCACTGTCCATTGTGTTGTCTTGGGCCCAAGATTAGAACCACGAGACCCCATGTTGTTCCCAATTTTGCACATAGCAATGAACTTGCGTGTGTGATTCAGTGCCGCAAGCAGAACAGGTGCGAATTCTTTTTGATCCGGAACTCTTCCTCACTGACAAAGGGCGTCTTTTTCACTACTGCGGAGATTGGGAATTTCTTGGTGGTGACGAAGAGATGAAGGAGTGAAGAGTTGTTACGTTTGCGTCTCCTTTTCACAGCTGAAAGGGGTGATGGGTTCTCTTCAACTGCTGAGGCCTCATGTGACTGGCTGCAATCAAATGCTAAGTGCATCGTTTTGTTTGAGACCGAGGATTAGAGAGGCAACAACAAACTGAACGCAACATCACGAACTGAACACTGAACAACCTGGAAAATGAAAGAAGCAGCTTTCACGACAGCATTGGCGACCACCAGGACTCTCGCGCCGCCTTTGTGGCCGAGATCAGACGTGTGCTGGCACCCGTGCGAAAGATCCCTGTCCACGAGCTCCAGTCGCGGCTGCGAAGCGCGCGCCCGGGCCAGGCAGCGAAGAATTTTTCGGTTTTCAAGGAGTCAATGTTTTTTTCGGTAGGAACAAGTGCATCGCTTCTAGTAACAAGTGCCTTACTAGTAGTAACAAGAAGCTATTAGTAACAAGAAGATTTCGGACGGAGAGAGGATTGAGAGGATTGTGTTGCACTCCTTTGGATTGAATTGCGCACGAACGGCCAAACATGTTTGCTGTTGGCGATCCCCTTCACGCACAGATGGCACGGTTTTTGACCAGCAAGAGCGGCTTTGCCCAGTTGTCCCTCCAATCCTTCCGAAAACTCAAAGCATATTGTTTTTGGGTCTTAGGGGCTCCTGGCATCGCTACTAGGAGCAAGAAGCTACTAGGAACAAAGGGCATCGCTACTAGGAGCAACGACGCGTCTTAGCTTCTTTTTCTGCTGTTCGGATTACATGCTCTTCACCTCTCCAATGGTTCTCGCAGATGCAAGGCGCCAGCAACGTCCAAGAAGCACAGTTGATTCAGCAAAAGATGACACGCAGCGGAGTTTTAATGGTAAGGCAAGTGCTTGGTGAACACTGAACACCAGCATTTTTCATACCTTTTAAGTCCCGAATTGTTTGTGACGCAAAAAGGCAACCGTCTCTGGATTTTGCCAGAGCTATCAAATAGTGACCCTTGAAAGGCATGTACAGTGTACAGGCCATCTCGTTGATGCATGCTTTGTGCCCCTTGTACCAACGGAGCTCCAGTGCTTTCACCCCGATTGCAGTCAGAGTTCCTTTAGATTCGGTTTAATTATCATAATTACGGACCATTATGGATGGATACAGCCTCTATAGAAGCTAAGGAATGAAGGTACACTTCCCTCTTGAATGGGATAGGCATCAAAAAACCTTGATACGGATTAAAAGAAATAGGCAAGATATTGTTTGGATCACCTGGTCCCTTGGTCCGCTTGGTCGCCTAATCCTATTATTGTGTGGTCCCATTGATTGGGTATTTCGCGAGTTCCGCGAAATAGACCGAGAGTTGTGCAATCCATCTTTCTCTCACATTTCGGGAATTTCGACTTCCACGAACTTTTCCAACTGTTTGGACGTCAGCTTGCGAATTTCTGTGAAACAAGTCTTTTTGATCCTTATCAGTTTTTTGATCCCTCACTCCTAGGGTATGCACTGATGGTTCATGGTCAAAATAGGTGTTTTTGTTTTCAAAGCTTGGGCAGGCGATGCTTGACGAGCAGGAGGCCCTCTTTGAAAGGCCCACTCCAAACAGGTTTTTGATGTACACAAGTAGTTGGCCAGTAGTTGGCCAGATGTACTCAAGTAGTTCAAGCAGAGGCGAGGTGAAACAGTTCATATACGGAGCCGTCAGCCGCAGCTTCCGCAGGTCGAAGTTGCACAAGCTGATGGAGCAAGAAGGCTGACGCCGCGCTGTAGCACTGCAGCTGACCTCGTCCCAATTCTATTTTCAGTAGGGACTTGAAATACGTGAAAGGATGTGAAAACATACTTCTATTGCAGCGGAGGGCATACTTCTATTTGTCATGTGAGGGTTTGTGCAATGTTGGGCAGCGACAGCCAAAAACCGTGATGGCCCTCCACTTCCACTTTCATTGATGATGTGCAGGTGTGTCTAAACCATTCATATATATATATATGTGTATACACAAATCTCTCTCTCTCTCATATATATCTATACATATGATATATGATAGCGACACCATGATGTTTCTTGTGTTTACTGTGAGCATAACCAATGGCATCCGTGGGGTGACTCTGCTGCATGGAATATGAACACACTCAAGTCTTTGTGTTGACCCACAGCCATGTACGATTATAGTTTGACTCTGCAGTGATTGAAACGGGCAGCGGTTAAGTGGACAAACTTAAATTCTTTTGCAGTGCTTCGGACAGACTACAGTTGCACGAGTTTTCCTTCACGGAAGTGTTAGTCGACTTGACAGGGCTTTTTACCGGTCGTATTCAGATGGAGCAGAACTTTCCAGAAAAAACTCTTCTAGCAATGCAGAACGAGAAAGACAAACTAATTCAGCGATGTATAGAGATACTCTACTCAAAAACACCAAGGCCGGCCATCAGCTTTCGGTTTGATCGCAGGTCTATGTTCACCAATGCGACAGCACGTGGCAGAAAACGTCCGCTCACGTTTGAAGGAGGACCGACCATGCCATTTAGAACCAGATGAGGTTTTGACTGCCGATATGGGAGCCATTGGGGTTTGATTCCTTGTGCTCTCCATGTGTTCCAATCTGTTTGATGCACAGAATTAGCGCTTGGGAGGAGAGTGAGAAAGTCGCCGCTGAGGGGCTAGAGATGCAACATAAGTGCACCAATATCAGGCAGGGATTAGCCACCAAAGTCTGCGCGGCGTGATTCTGCAGGCATGTACATCCATTTATAGTTGAACCGACGCACAAAACCAGGAAGAATCTTGGCCAGATGATGAACGCCAGGAGCTATGGTGAAAAGTACCCCTCATTCGTTTGCAAGTGCATTTTCAGTTTGTTCACAATCGCTTTCGTCCAGGAGAGACCTCGCCTCCCTACGACGTGCAATTGTTGGGCGAGGGATTGATGTTGTAGGGGGCCCAGCTCCTGTTGCGTGTAGCAGGCTGCGTGCCATACATTGAAATCCCTTGTGCAACTTGTGCACTTGATTGTAGCGAGGCAACATCTGTGTAAAACTTTTTTCTCCCCCGAATGCGTAGCGAAGGGTTCTCGTTTAACTCTACGGGTCTGGCGGTATAGAGCCTTGTTCGCAACTGGTTGTCGTAGCGTTAGCAACCGTCCGCAACTGTCCGCAACCGTTCGCAACCGTTCGCAACAGTTCGCAACCGTCCGCAGGTGGAGCGCTATGGCGCTGACATTGGGCGAAGCTTTGGAGAGGGTTTTGGATGGAAGCATGATGTGTCAGATTCTTGTGAAATAGCGAGGAAACGGGTGGAAGCGTGAGATGTTGAAGTGTGGAGGATGAATCACTGCGCGGGTGCAGCGTTTTGTGAGATCCGCACTTTCTGCGCAGTCAGACTCGGGTTGGTGTTTCAAGGGTGGTGTTTTTGGGGTGTTGGACGTGGCTGTGACATTGTGGGACTTGCGTTCCATGCTGTTGCTTCGACTTTCGTGACAAGTCTCAGCTCAAATGGCGACTTTGATGGATGGGAGCGTGTTCAGAACGTGTCGAAGTCATTCCAAACGTGTGGTGTGGTGCAAAATTTGGTGATTTTTTGTGGCACTCTCAGTACTTTGTGCGGGCTTTTCAGGTGTGGAGGTGCAGTTTTCATGGCAGGCGCAGGGAATCGTGAGATTGCGACGTGTGGCGGAGGTCACATTTCGTGGCTGGCGCAGTACTTTGTGTGCGTTGGAGGTGTGGATGTGCAAATTTTCGTGGCAGGCGCAGGGCATGGTGAGGTTGCGAGTTGTGGTGGAGGTGAATGTCGCTGTGATATTGGGATTGGCGTGTGAGCGGGTATCCACAAGAGTGTTCCACAAGAGTGTCTCACAAGAGTGTCCCACAAGAGTGTCCTACAAGAGTGTTCCGTAGGAGTGTCTTCCTACAAGAGTGTTTCGGAAGAGTGTCCCACAAGAGTGAATGGCATATGAGAGTGCCCCACAAGAGTGACATACACGAGTGTCCCACAAGAGTGTCCTGTAGAGTGTCCCACAAGAATGTCCGACAAGAGTGTCCTACAAGAGTGCCCCGCAACGTGTGCTGCAAGAGTGTCCCACAAGAGTGTCCTACAAGAGTGTCCCACAAGAGTGTCCCAAGAGTGTCATACAAGAGTGTCCCACAAGAGTGCACCACAAGAGTGTCCCACAAGAATGTCCCTCAGAAGTGGCAACTTGTAGCGCACATGTAATGTGGGGAGCAGCTCCTGGGAGCTGTGGCCTCCGGACAGGCCACTTGGTAGTACAAATGTAGTACGGGAAGCGGCTTCTGGTCCCTCGCGCCTCAGAGCTGGCAACTTTAGCTGTGGCCTCAGAACTGCCAACTTATGTGGCCAAATTACATCTGAGTACGTGAGTGTCATACGTGAGTGTCCCACAAGAGTGTCCTACAAGAGTGTCCTGCAAAAGTGTCCCGCAGAGTGACACAAGTGTTGCACGAGAGTGTCCCACAACAGCGTTCTACAAGAATGTCTCCTACAAGAGTGTCAAAGCATGTTTGGGCGTTTCTTTTCGAGTATGTGTTTGCATTCGGGTTCATGGGTTCCATCTTGTTTTTTCCTGATTCCGGGCAGTAGCTACACTGAAATTGACAAACTTGATGTTGAGGGAGTTTCGGCAAACCGGAAAAACAGGGAACACTGTTGGGAACACTGAGCATTACAGCATAACATGATTTGGATGCGTGATGACAGTGATCCTTGTCAGGACGAACAGCTAAAGCAGAACTTGTCAGCGATGAGCTGAACTGGCTTGTGGTGAAAGTTCTGGTTTTTGGGAAAAACAAATGTGATTATGGTTCTATGGTTTCTATGGACGTGCCCACGTTGTGGGAGCAGCTTTGTTTCACCCTTCATAGGTTCTGTTGAGGCAGGCCATTTCACGACATTGAAGACCAGTTGGATTGAACTTCTTAAGTCTTGGTCTTAGGTCTTCGAATCACAAATGGTCATGCCTGATCAGATGTACACAGGAACATGGTCTCCTGAAGGGAACCATGCCAGTTTGCCACCTGTGCAAGGAAAAGAAAGTCATGAGGTTCAGGCCATCCTTGTGTGCTGATAGAGCGACATACCTTCGACCCATTTGGTTTTCGACAGGGAGTTGAGGTCCAGAGTTGCGGTCTTGTTGCCTGAGAAGACATGACAGACATGCTCTCCGTGCGGCACTGAATGCATTTTCTCGAGCAGCTCAAGTGCTGAAGTGACCGCACATCAAGCTGTGAAGCTTTGTGGCTTGGTACACAGACGCGATCAAAGCTGTTGCAAGAACACAGGAACATGCGATCGCGGGAAGCAATTGACAGGTCCTACTTGGACATTCAACAATGCTCATCATTCATTTGGGTTCTGTAGTTCTGGTAGCCAAGAGTTTGTGAGCTTTCCATTGCTGGCTTTACCCGAGGTTGGACTCATGGGGAACACTACGGGGTGCTGCTACTCCGCAGGTTGGACATGAGACCGCAAGTTGTTGTTCTTTGTGGAAAAGGGACATGAGAAACACAGACATGACACCCATAAGAAACACGAAGGAACGATCCAGAACAAGAACACCAGGTTTTCGCTGCTTCGATTGATACTGAAAAAAATCTAAAGCTGCAACGTTGAGTTTGCCAAGGCGTCCAGAGGTAGGGTATCTTAAGTGTTTTCAATTTGCAAGTATGGTACGTACAAGTGGCTCCTCACGTTGCCAGACAATCGCTGCTGTGGTAGAGATATAGCATCAATCTCAGAAACTGGCAAGGACCCATCAATGACTTCCTTTCACAGAAGGATGTCTTGAGGTGTTGCGTCAATAGCTGTTGAGAAGGAACAGGTCTTGAAGCTCTTGGA